TATGGTTCGGAAGATGATCCATCTTGGTGAATGTCCCATGTGAGCTTGAGAGGAATGTGTATTATGGTGTTGCTAGATGTATTAGTTGATAGATGTCAATTATAACTAGTTGATTGATGGTGTCATTGAGTTCAACTGTTTCCTTACTGATTTCTGATAGAGGGATGTGGAGGTTGCCAACTGTGATAGTGGGTTCATTCATGTTTTTCTTGCTGTTCTATCAGTCTTTGCCTCAAGTAGTTTGATACTTATTGATAGGTGCATACACATTAAGAATTCTTACGCTTTTTTGGAGAACTGACCCCACTATCATATAATTCCCTTCTTTATCCTTGATAATGTCCCTTGCTTTGAAGTCTGCTCTGTCTAAAATTAATATAGGCACTCCAGCTTTTTTAAATTCATGCTTACATGATATATTTTTCTCCATCCATTTATTTTTTTTTTCTTTTTTTTGAGTTGGAGTCTCACTCTATAGCCCAGACTGGAGTGCAGTGGCCGCTCCCGGCCACTGCAGCCTCAACCTGCTGGGCTCCGGCGATCCTTCGTCTCAGCCTTCCAAGAGGCTGGAACTACAGGCGTGCGCAACCATGCCCGGCTATTTTTTTTATTTATTGTAGAGATGAGGTCTTACTAACTTGCTTGGGTGGGTCTTAAACCCACAGGCTCAGGCAATCCACTCACCTCAGCCTCCTAAAGTGTGGGATTACAGGCTGAGCCACGGAGCCCGGCTCATCCATTTACTTTTAATCTATATGTCTTTACACTTAAAATGGGTTTCTATGGACAACGTATAGTTGAGTCTTGTTTTTGGATCCACTCTGGCAAAGTGATTATTAATATAATTGGGCTAATATCTATGTGTTACAATTTTATATTTGTTGCCCTTGTCCTAGTTTTATCTTTCACTCTTTTCTGCCTTTTGTGGTTTTAATTGAGCATTTGGTATGATTCCATTTTCTCTCCTTTCTTAGTTTATCACTATATTTCTTCTTAAAAATGTTTTTTAACTAGTTTCCCCAGAGATTACAATATACGTTTACAAGCAATCCAAGTCCACTTTCAAACAGCACTGTCCTACTTAGCAGGTAGTATGAGTATTTTATATTACAAAATAATCTGAAGACTTCCTTCCTGTCCCGCATCAATGCTGGCATTCATTTAATTTACATATAAGCATACATAAACATATTACAGATATAGATACATACATAAGCACACATAATCTAATACATTGTTGCTACTTTGAATAAGCTTTTATCTGTTAGATCAACTAAGAATAAGAAAAATAAAAGTTTATTTACTGTCACTTTTCCTTATGTCAATCCAAGTTACTGATCTATATCATTTACCTTTTCACTAAAGAATTTCTTGTAATATTTCTTGCAAGGCAGGTCAACTGACAACAAATTTCCTCAATTTTTGTTTTTCCTTCACTTTCGATGAACAATTTCTCAGAGTACAGAATTCTAGGTGTTTAGCGTTTCTCTCAATGCTTCAAACATTTGGCTCCACTTTCTTCTCCCTTGCGTGACTTCTGAGGAGAAGTCAGGTGTTTTGTTCCTTGCTTTCTTTCAGGATTTTTGTTTCTTGATTTTTGGTTTTCTATAGTCTGAAAATGATATGCCTGGGTGTAGTTTTTTAGGCATTTATCCTTTTTGGCATTCTCTAAACTTTCTGGATCTGTGGCTTGATGTCTGGCATTAATTTGCAGAAATTCTCGTTCATTATTGTTTAAAATATTTTTTCTGGTCCTTTCTCTCCTTCTTCTCCTGGTAGGCTCATTCCACATACGTTACATCTTTTATAGTTGTATCACAGTGTTTGGATACTCTGTTCTGTTTTTATTCAGGCTTTGTTCTCTTTGCTTTTCAGTTTCGAAAGTTGCTGTGGCTTGAATGTTCGTGTCTCTCCCTAATCTGTGTTGAAACTTAATTCCCACTGTGGTGGTAGTAAGAGGCAGGGCCTTTTGTGAAGTGATTGAGTCAAGAAGGCTCTGCCCTTGTGAACGGGACGTGCGCCTTGATGAGCAAGGCTTCAGAGGACTGCCTGCCCCTTCCATCCCTCCCGCCGTGTGAGGACACAGCGTTTGTCCTTTCTGTCCCTTTCGCCGTACGAGCCACAAGGAGCCACCTCGGAAGCCGAGAGTCCTCGCCCGACACCAGATCCGCTGGCGCCCTGGTCTTGGCCCTCCCAGCCTCCTGAACCGTGAGGAATGGATTTCTGTGGTTCACAGATTCCTCCATCTGTGGTGCATTGTTCTGTCAGCAGGGACAAGCTGAGACAGAGGTTTCCACGGAGATACCCGCAAACTCAGGGATTCTTTCCTCCGCAGCGCCAGTCTAGGGGGAGGTCCGGTAGCCCAGGGAAGGAGGGAGGGCACTTCTGGAAGAGACAGCGGGAAAAGAACAGAAGGGAGATGCGGGGCACAGCCGGCCTGACCGCGACGTCTTATACATGTCGGAGAGTAATGGGGGCCAGACTGGAAGACGGCTGCCCAGCTGAGGAGGAGGTTCTGGATTGTAGAGAGGGCTCTAGAAGAGGGCTCCAGAGAGGGGGAGTCATTAGGCGACGGCGGGCACGGTGTTCTCCCACAAGTCTTTTTTCTCCTCTCGTTTCATCAACACCTTTACATTCCCAGAGACTCTTGGCCAGCAATAAGAAGCTGTGACTCCCTCTACTCTTCATATGGGAGGACACTTTGTTCTCGTTCAAGTTTTGACTGCCAGTTGGAGACGTGGGCAGTGGTCAGGGGATGCTGCCCGTCCTCCCTGCTGCTTCTAGCCCCTGCGCCCCCCCACTGCCAGCTCACATTTCTCCAGCAGGCTTTGCACGGGGGCCCGCCTTGCTCTTCCCCGATTCCTTTGTCCGAGACGAGTTCCACGCCTGCGGAGAGCCCCTCCCGCTCCCTTTGCCCTCCTTCCGCCGGCCTCCTCCCACCTGGCCTTCACGCCCCTTGGCGCATCCCTGCCAGGACGCCAGGTGTCACCACCTGGTTCTGCCCCGGCCCTGAAGCTGTGCTTTCAGTTGTCCTGTTTCACCCCCTCTCCTCCTCGTCGGCTGTCTCGACTGTGTCCGAGGCTAGTTTCTTTCTTCCTTGGCTGGCTTTCTGTCTTCCCTTCATCCCTTCCCCTTGAACACTCCCACGCCAAGATGGTGGGTTTCTCAGCCCACACCCCTGCTCCTGGCCATGAGCCATGGTGGGGTGTTCCGGTAAGTCCACTCTGGGACCCAGAGGCCACAGGCTTCTGCGTCGTCACAGAGCAGCATGCATCATTGCTGGGTGAGTTTACGCTCCCAGGACACACCTGGGGCCTCAGGCTTCCTGTCAACCCGCTGCTTTTCCTTCCAGCCAGCTCTCCAGTTTCCACAGTGACAGGAGTTTTCAACCTTCTGTGTCTGACAATGACTAGGGTATGGAGCCTGGGTGCACACTTAAGCGGGGGATGTTCACAGGCCACCTATCTCATGCAGGGACTGTTCTAGTCTGTGGGATACGAAAGTGAACAACAGAATGCCCATGGGGTTTACTATCGTGCAGATTATTCAAAGAGGCAATGCTAACTGACTGATATGCATTGTTGCCACATCCACACTTTTCTTCCTCCCTCCCTCCCTCCCTTCCTCCCCCCTTCCCTCCTTCCCTTTCCTTCCTTGTCTTTGTCCTTTTTTTAAAGTCAGGGCCTCCCTCTGTAACCCAGGCTGGAATGCAGTCATACTATCACAGCCCACTGCTGCCTCCAACTCCGGGGTCAAGCGATCCTTCCACCTCAGCCTCCCAAGTAGCTGGGACTACAGGCATGCACCACCATGCCTGGCTAATTTTTTTTGGGCGGGGGGTTGATAGAGATAGGGTCTCAAACTCCTGGGCTCAAGCAGTCCACCCGTCTCAGTCTCCCTAAGTGCTGGGATTACGGGTGTGAGGCCGCGTGCCTGGCTCCACATTTTCCATCTTTCCCCACGCACAACTGCTTACTAAGTTCTCACTGCATGCTTTAGCTGCAGAGAGCATTGTGGTGGGCAGGACGGGGCCAGCACCCCAGAGAGTAGAGAGCAGGGAAAGCAAACAAGACGCAAGTAAGGAGCATGGACATCAACCATGCGGCGACATGAGACAGCAGGGCAAGGAACCAGAGGGTGCTGGGACACGCTTCCTAGAGGAGGGACAGAGAGGATTCTCGGGTTGGAGCCAAGGTCTGAGGCCCTGGAAGAGCACTCAGCGGGCCCTCCTGGGAGACAGCAGGTGCAGAGGCTGAAATAGGGATGGCTGGGCCGCCATGAGGCCCTGTGGAGAGTGGGCCCTGCAGCCCGGGCCACACAGTGTCACTTGCAGCCCAGGAGGAGGAGGAAGGCTTGACCTTCAGTTCACTCCTGGATGATCACTTAAGATCATCACAGGGCAGCAATCTGTCCCAGAACCAGAATCCAAACATCCTTTTTTAAAGAGTATTTTCCACTCCAATCAACACAGACACAGAGACGTGATAAGCTGGACACTGTTTGGTCAGTGATTCCATGAGGTGCAGGCAGAAGGCCATGGCTGGCCACTTGGTTCCACATGGGGACATTCTCAAACAGTGTTCACATTTGCATCAAATAAAATGGAGGTGATAACATCCCTTCTAACGGAGGCAAAAGTTGGCTTTTGATCCCGGTTGGAGTATGCTGCTTTGATGGGGAAAGGATCCCTCAGGTCTCTTTCTCTTAAGATACTTTCAAGTCATTTAGGAAAAATTGAGTACTTTTTAGCTACATGCCATGAGAGAGATCGGATGGTCCTAAAATATGGCACATGAAAGCCATAATCTCTTTAATGGAATTTGTATGGCAACATATATGACCAATCGTGTTAGGAACGTCATTTTAGCCATACCATCTCCAAAGAAAGGATAACCTTCAGGTCTCCAGGGAAAGCATTTGCATTTTGTGGGCATTGCTCTGTGCCCACCCGGAAGCCACAGGGCTGGGAGCCAGCAGGGCTGGGCTGGGGACTTGCCTACCTTCTTCCTGTGGTCCTGGTAGGCTTTCTCCCACGTGTGGCACAGGTACTCACTGGCACCGGGAAAAGTCAGCCGGCGGGCTCCGGGCATCTCTGCAAGGGAGTGAATGGTCTTGCTCCTTTCAGAGAGGCGCCCGCTGGGTCTGGGACGGCCGCAGAGCTTGTGTTTGCAGGTCACATGACAGTTGCCACGGCGTCCAAGCCAGAGGAAAAGAAAGGAGCCAGAAGATGGCCTGTGGGCGCTTCCAAACAAGAAAGGAGAAAAACAAAGAGGAATGGAATCTTCTTCCGCTCCAGTGGGTGTTTTCTCAAGAGATTGTGAGTAGCTCAGTGTTGCTGTTTTGGTGACCACCCCTCAGCAACGGAGGAAGAAAATTCTCACGAATCAGGTCACTGTTTTCTTCTGCCCTTCCTTCCTTCTCCCCTGCTTCCCGATCGCTCCCACCCTCCCCTCCCGCTTTCCAGTTCTTTCCTTTCTTAACGAGTGCCTTTCTTTATGCCTTCCTCATCTCCCTTCGCTCCCAACTTTGAACAATTTACAATAACTTGAGCAATTCCAAAATAGTGACGTGCAGGTTGGGGGCAGCTCTTCATTCATTTTTCTTCCAGTGGACTTAAGGATCCGTTACAGGAAAGTCTTGCTATGTGAAGCCGTCCCCTGCTCCACTGCTTTAATCTAGCTGGGCTGGGTTTTTCTTGAGACAAAGTGAACATGATGCTAGGATAGCCGCTGGTCGTTTTGTCTTTGCTGAAACTGGATGCATAGTTTTGGAGATGACGTGGTTAGAAGAATTGGCTCATGATGAAGCAGCAGTGTTAGGTTCATTACAGGATTCTAGCCTTCATCACGTTATAGTGCACGGCACTTGTGACTTTGTCTTGCAGAGTCTGAGAAGGGGACTGACTGTTCAGTCGTGCACATGTGAAGGATAGGAGGGGCTTACCTGCCCCTTCATGATGATGGAGCAGACCACCGCCCAATCACCTTAATGACCTTCCCCCATCAAAGGGAAGGGTGGAAAGGACTCAACGCCGCATCCAGCTGCCATGGCCACAGCTATGGTGTAGCTGTGTGCTCTTTAAGTTGTGACCAGGCCATGCTTTCTTAAGCTTTGGTCCCCTCCCCTCCCTTGGGGAGGTGAATCTCCTCTCTCTCTCTCTCCAATTTACTTTCTAAATAAACTATATCTTCTCATCTGACTTCTGTGCAATTCTTTGCATCTTTCTCACGACATCAGCTTGCATACCAGACACCCACACCCCCAGCGGGTCTGACCTAACATTCTGGAGGCATTGTGACCAAACAAATATCACTCGTCAAGAGCAGCTAGAACGAGCCTGATGTTCAGCTCCAGTCAAGACCTGCTGGTGATGATAGTGGAAGCACCGGTGTTGATGTTATTGAACGATTTCCCACCTGGTCCTGGGGGCATTTTTTGTTCAGGCTGTGGGGCCGATCCTGTGTTTCTCGTCTTCTCCTTTCCCGATGATCCACGTGCAGAGAAACTTCCGGCAATGCTGAGCGTTGGTGCAGGGATGAAGGCTGCAGCCTGCGTGTGCTCGCACTCACACAAAGTGTGGATCGAGGGCAGCCTGGGCGAAATATGTGCTTTTTAAGTGTGTGTTTTCACAGCGTGGGTTTGGATGCACACACTGTTTTGACACGCCTGGCCAAGTACAGGGAGCTCAAGTAAGGTGTCTGTCTGTGTGTACCTCCGACTGGTGAACCACTCAACCAGTGTTGGCTATTTGATTTGCCCTGATAGCCAGGCTCCTGGAAGAGGATCTGGAAACATCAGACATGCTGCTAAACACCAGAGAGATCACCCCCAGCTGCATGGTCTGGACTGCAGTGCACCCACCAGGCGCAAACTGTGTTTTGGTTTTTAGGATCAGACCAGAGAAGTCAGCTAACCAGCAGCAATTTGGAATCTGTCCTGAGGACACAATCTGAAACACTAACGAGGACTTATGCTCGTCAAAGAATGATGCATAGAGAGGCGACACTGCTGAGTCTGGAGCTCAATAGCAAGTACCGCACTGACTTCCACTGATGTCCTGGTTTTCCAGGATCCAGTCCACAGTACCACTTTGCATCTTGTGAGTTTCATGTTAAGTCAGCAATTTTTCTTACATTGGGCTAGGTTTTGGAGGTTTGATGCTCTACGGTTTCTATTTACATTCTGCAGAAAATAAATACCAAAGCCTATTTTTGGCCTTGGTTATCCAGATACTATCTGTGTGTTAAACTTCAGCCTTAATCAATGTTTTGGCCCCATATTAACTTTAATATTGTGTTTATCAGAAATGCCTTGAAATGTTACCAAGTGATGCCCTGAATATGTGAAGGCCGTTACGTATAATAACATTTAATACCTTAGCATATTGTATATTACATACATAAGCATATAGCTTATTATATTGTACATGCTATATAAAGTATTTGATATATGATACATATTAATTAACTCCTGGAATCCATTGTGAGGAGTCTTCATAGGAGAGAAAGTGTTTACCCTCAGGAAAAGGTGAATCAGAAATAAACCCTCCTCTCAGGCAACTTTCAGGCTACGGCAGGGTGGGACCAAGACCAGGGAAGAGTTCCTGCAGCCCAAATTCACTTGCCTAAGCACCCAAGAAAAACCCAGTTAATGAAATTTAAAAAGTGGCCCTGAGTTGATGACATCCCAAGATGCTGAGAAAAAGTGATGGTCTTTCCTCCAAAGGCTTCCAGCTTTTCCGGTGTCTCAGTGACACCCAGCATCTTGCCAAGTCGTTCCGTCACACAAGAAGCCACCACCAGAGTCAGCAGAAACAATGAAGTCAGTCAGATGATAGGACAACTACACTTACTATGCTTTAAATAACAAAAGGGAAGACTGGAAATATCTGCAGGGTACAGAAAACGGTAAAAATTTTCAACACAGAAGGAATACTTACAAAATATGACCATATCTCAGGCTGCGAAAAAGCCTCTACAGGTTTCAAAGGACTGAAATCATAATTTTCACAGCAGAACGCAGCTAGGAATTAATAACAGAGGGTAACCAGGAACTCTCATGTTTGGAAATTAATGCGATTCCAAGGTCAGGAACAAGACAGGGATGTCACTGTGGCCTTCTGCTGTCCAAGAGGTGCTTTTAGATTAGTTGGATGTATTTGTTCAGTGCCATGAACTGTCCACCCAGAAGGAAATTCAGAGTCAGACTGGCCTTCTAGAACAACTGTGTTTATTTGGGAATAGCTGGGGATGGCAGGCTATGGCTGGTCATAGGCATATTTGAGAAAGCTGGGGCAAAGGGGAGACTTTCAGAGACAGGGAAGTCCATGTCAAGTGTCTTGCAACAAACCCACTGGGTACAGGAGCTTGCTGCAGGCGCCGGCGCTAGCTTGTTGAGAAGGGAGCCATCATTAGGCAGCCATCCTAGTGCCGGCTGCTGGTCTAAATACCAGTTTTGAGGGATTGCCCTGTGAGAATCCTGCCGTCGGCAAATGCACAGGGTGTGCAGGAACGCCTTGTGGAAGGCCTGCTGCAGGAATTGGTGCGTGAGGGCTCCCTTCAAGGCCTCGCGACTCCAGTTTCTGAGGGTTTGGCACGAGTGAATCTATTTTGGTTCCAGCAACTTTCACAGAACCAGGTGTTCTCCTTGCCAGTCATCGGGAGTGGTGGCGTTCGTTGTAGTCTTAGTCACGCAGGCACTTCTCAAGAACGCTGGTCTGGAGAATCCCGTTAGGTCTGAGAATAATCTTAAGAAACGGATTCAGAAGGGTGGAAAAGCTGTATCCACAGATGACACGTGAATTTCAGGGTTACTTATTTCACTGCAGGGGGAGGCTGGAGCTGTCCACTGCCATAATTCCACCACCAGAGGCCGGCACACCATGGTCACACCATGCCCAGAACGTGATGGAGTTGGTGCAGCCTTTCCTTTTATTGGAGGGCAACAAAGCCAGTGAGGAAAGTACAGATTTGTCCCTTGTACTGCTATGTAAGAATCAGAGCCGAGAAGACACGCTGGAAAGCTACTTTGTTATAGGTAGGAAGAAAGTGATTTTAAAATTGAAAATGATGTTTATCCTACTTGTGTGGCTAATTTAAAAAATCTATTTGATGTGCAAATCAGGCCTTGACCACACCCTTTATAGCAGCCCCTCCTCCAGGACCACGTCTGGTGCCCACTGAGCTCAGAGAATTCAAAGAACCCGTAGCCTCCACCCCCACCTGCCCTGCTGTAGGACAAATTCTGTTACAGAACAAGCTAGAGTTCCCTCATTCCCTGGGTGGCGAATAGCCCTGCCCGGGTCCTCACATTGTCTGTGCGTGTGGCCAGCGGACGCCTCTTGGGTTCCTCAGCCTCGTGTTGTCTTCACGGCCTTGGGTGTCGCAGGGCATCACAGTGAAGTGCGCGCCAGACTCTCCACTTCCTGGGGCCCTGAGGCCTCCTGGGAGGGCTGCCTCTGCAGGAAACTGAGCGCTATTCCTTCGGCTGCTCCCCTCTTCTGACCCAGGCTGATGGGAGAGCTACTCTGAACTGCCAGTCTGCTTTTCCTGGAACCCCTGGGCAGGCCGGGCCGGGGCAATCGTGCCAAGAGCTCACGGCCTACGGTGCCGGAGGAAGGCACAGGCCCTGGACCTGAAGGGTCAGAGCACACACCAGAGCCAGAGGCCACCTGGTTCCCATATTGTCTGCGAAAACGCCATATCCTGCCTGGGGTCTCCACCCCAATTCCCTTTTCAGTCTGGGCGCGGAATACCGTGAGACTTCCAGAGCGGAACAGCAACATCTTTTGTGCTATTTCCAAGCAGCTGTTTTGTCCCGCGTGACTGGTCCTCTGTCTGGCTTTAGGCAAAGCTCATGTCATCTGCAGGGGAGGACCCCTCCTGGGGTGGGTGTGGGCTGTCCCAGCAAAGCAACCAGGCCCTGGAGGAGGAACAGCGGGCACTGCCAGCCAGGAAGGCAAGGGGTGGCCTGGGCTGCAGGGGCGGGTGGTGCGGCACAGAGGCCTGTGATTAGGCCTGCGGTTGCTTAGATCCTGTGTGCTCAACTCTCAATAGCCCTTGGAGCTTGGGCTCTGCAGGGGGCACAAACCAAACAGGATGTGTGTTTCTGAGTCCTGCGGGCGGTGTCCAGGAGCCCTTCCAGGGCCCAGTGAGCTCCCCAGCAACCCAGGGAGGGGACGGGCCCAGGCTCTTGGCCCCACGGCCCACTGCCCCTCGTTGCCGCTTTCGCGGA